CATTCACACACTGATGATGGTTAACTACAATGTAGCCACAACTACCCAGTGGCAGGCTGATAAATGTCCTTAAAATTACTTTTTATTGTTTAGTCACAGTTCTGTTGTGTTTTTTTTTTTTTTCTTCATGACAAAAGCAGTTTTCTTGGTGGTCAGATAAAATCAATCAAATCAAACCAGTGACTGTTCCTGTTTTGTTAAATCGGTGTCTTTGTGTAAAAAAGGATTAAATTTCATGGTACATTACCATTTGTCCTCTGTACCACCGAAGGGAATTGTCCAATTCAAAAGAAAACGGTAATTGACAGATAAGAATTTTATTTTTACTCATACTTGTTTTTTTTAATACTGTTTCATATTTTTCCTTTTTCCTCACATGTCAAAGGTGTATTTGACATCATGTTTGTTAGGCTTTAAGCAAGTCATCAGTTATTTATTTATTAACTGTAGTCAAAATCTTAAGAATGTTACAGAGATTTTATTGTTTTTGTTTTGGCCATTAAGCTTTAGAAAGCTGTGCAGTCTGCAACATGATGAAAATGGTATTTTAAAATGATGGTCACTGAATAAATGCTCTTCTTAATTCTYTTGTGTGTGTTTAATTGCTTTGCACCAGCTCTTAGGAGCTCTTCACCACCAGGAAAGCTGTATAAGCATTGGATTGACGGGACGGAAGGAAGCGGCGCGTCGTACGTGGAGCTGCCTGCTGAAATAGCCATGAGTTACAAACCCATTGCTCCTGCGCCTTCTGGCTCCAACCACACTCCACCAGGTACTCTAAAACTACAGTTTGTTAATGATTTCCATGCAGTTAGGACTGAGCATGTTTCTCTCTCTCTGTCTCTGGAACAAGCAGAGTATAATGAGTGGCTGGAAGTTCTTCAGTTACAATTTATATGATTTATTGTTCTAATATTGTTTTTGCCCATATTTTGTCTTAAAAGTTCAGACTTTAGAGTGTTAACATTTATTCTCTTCTTCTCCACAGGCTCTTCGGTGCCYTCTCCATCCCTCCCATCGTCATCCAACTTCAGGCCAGCTTTTAGTGACTTTGGTCCACCTTCAATGGGTTTTGTTCAGGTAGAAGTCTTATACATCCATACTCATAATACTCCACTCAAATGTTTATTTCGTTAGGGTTTTTTCATGTTTACAGCCATGTTGCATCAATAATCAGGAGGGCTAAAGTTTTGTAATAATTAGGAAAAAAATTATKTGTCTCATATAACCACATGCTGGAWGTCATATAGTTTTTAGAAGCAAAACACAATGTTCTAACTAAATGCCTGATCAATCCAAATGCATCATTCAAGACTTCTAACAAGAGTCTCATAAGGAAGGCTCAGTCGCAGCAGATWGAACATATTTACAGGATGGTACAAGACTGTTAGAGCACCTTTTTCAGTTCATTCTCTGTCTGAAATTTGTAGACATTTAAAAATAGGTGCAGAAAAATAGTCTGAATACCTGTAGTTTATCTCGAACTGTCTGACATTGCACTGTCTGGACTTCAACTCGCTGTGAGGTCAATTACAAGAAGGTTGCTCAGCAGATTGGATGTTTTCTGCTAGTTTGTGCCTTTGTTGCTATGGAATGATGGACTCCAAATAGTTGGAAAATTGGCAGCAGTGTTTTTTTAAGACTTTATTCAGCCTTGTTGGGTGTGTGTGTGCATGCATGAGTGTGTGTGTGCAGAAACCTTGGAACTGATCAAAGGTTTACCTGTGCTTTTGTAAGTTACTGTTAGGCAAAGAAATCTGTACAACTAAAAACACAAATGCCTCTTTTAGTTTTGGAACACATTATAATGCTGAAAATGTACATTTCATGTTACCACACTGCCATCAACTATGTTTTAAGACAACAACTTGGAGATTTTACAAATTTCTGCTCAAACACATATTTATATATATATATTCTGGGGAAGATTAGGTGAATAAATTATGTAGTCAAAAGTCACAAATATTTCCAATGACATATTTTTGACTTGAGTAAATCAGTAAATACTAAAGGTTTAATCTCAATTTAACATTAACCTTGAATTAAGCTTGTACTTAAACCTTTACTCTGCTGGTTGCACTTACTGATTTATCAAGAGAAAATCTGCTTCTTTGCAGTTTCTCACAGATTTGAGTTCTCATAAGTAACACATCCTAATGGATCTTTTCCCCCTTGTTGTTCCTCAAACATCAAATATTGGTGGAAACACTCCAGCCTGTGAAAGTGTCCCAAGGCTCCACCTATAGTGAACTTCTGTCCGTCATCGAGGAGATGAGCCGTGAGATCAGGCCTACGTACGCTGGGAGCAAAAGRGCCATGGAGAGGCTAAAGAGAGGTATTTAACTTCACAATTCTGCGTCATCAAAAACACGTTTCATGTTCAGTTCTGAGTGTTTTTTATTATAATCATGTTCACACTAGTTGTTGTTGCTCTGTAATTGTTCTCTTTTTATTTAAAAGTGTTTGTCTCTGTCTTATCCAGGTATTATCCATGCCCGTGCTCTGGTCAGAGAGTGTCTTGCAGAAACTGAGAGAAGCGCTCGCACATAACCCTTTCTGAAACTCCCCCTCACTGGACGCTCTGTCCTCTTTTCAAAGCCTGCCCTCATGAGTAGAATTGGATACTTTTCAACAAATACTCATCCTCCCCGCATTGTTGGCTTTTACTGATGTGCTTTGTTCCTTTGTGTTCATTTAACCCTCCTGCTGCCCTTGGGTCAAAATGACCCGAAGAGAAGCTTCATGGGTCATTTTGACCCAAGGGTAGCAGAAGGGTTAATACATTTCACCCAATCCATTGTCAGTGTCAGATTTKCTGCACCACATACAGCTTTTGAAAATTGAAATTTTGTACTTTTTTTCCCAAACGGAGTTGAATTTCAGTGCTTTGAMTGTAGATTTTGATGAAAACAGTGTCATATGATTACAACAAAAAAAGTTGGATTTTTATAAAATACATAAAATCCATCTTCAAATTCCACCACCCTCATTTTTACTTTGAACAATTTTGTTAGCATATTTTGTCGTGTGAGCTTCATTCAATTTCTCTCATTCCCAAGAACTTTTTCATCTCAAATCAGTTTGTTAGAAATTTTGTAAACCAGATTTTTGCAGTTCAGTATGTATATCTTAATAAATAATGTAAAAAAATGGTTTGTCTTCTCGTTTGGAGGAGTTTAATGAATTTGGTAAAATGTTTTAATGTTTCACTTCATTACTGAAGCACCATTACACATCAATATTCTTCTAAACCTTTAATTGCAGAWAATGCACCGTGTGGCTTTAATCACATGAATATAAATCAGAAAGCTGCCTTGGTTTTTAATCTAGTTAAATAATCACTTAAAGTGTGGGGATAAACAAATTTATTTTTTGGTTACATCACAGCCTGGTTAACATTTCACTTCAGAAAACTTGCTGAGCAACTTGAGTAATAAACAGCTCTTCTTAAAGAGAGAGAAAGCAACGGCTTCTGCATCTTTACAATAAAATGAGGACATTTAGATACTTATATACACTAAATAAGAGCATATGGAAAGCAAAGAAAACAAAAGTCCTTYTGTTCCATTTAGTGATTGTCACAGACCGCTTCGCTGTATGTCCAACCTTCATGCTGCTTCAGCTGTGACCTGAATGATGACCATGAGAGGCATTCTCTGCTTTGATCCTGAGCAGCCGTTACAAGGAGTATTTAGGAATATAGTACAGCTGTAAGAAAGAAAAGTATGCATAACCAACTGACAAGTGCTATGAAAAACTGATTTTGTTCATAAAACTTAAGCCATTCATTGTTAAGCAAAATGGGGAAAATCAAATTATCATTTTATYAAACTTCTTACTGAAGTTTACAACCTGGATGCTCACTACTGGGAGCAATTATTTACCAAATCCTTACATGTTTGGATCCCTAAAAGGCTAAATAAATACAAAAACAGGAAGTGTTCTRTTAAAGTGAAAAATATGCTGCACTGGATCAATGGTTCTGCAGACACCGTAACAGGCACTGACTATGCTCCAATCAGAGCCACAGATTCATTTAGACCATGAACGCAGAGGACTACGGCAAATATATATATAAATGTATATTTAAAAGCTCATGGTGTCAGTGTGTAGGTCTGAATGGGAGCAGATTGGCAGCATGTTTGGCTTAAATGCACAGACAAAATCAAAACATCGYAAGTGTCGTCTCCATCTTGAAATTCACAAGTCCAACCCGCTTCAGCCCTGAAAGGAGGAGATGAGCTTTACTAAGCGTTTGATCCAAGGTTACATAAARGTAGTTGGATAAAAGTCAAACGGGACTCACCGTAGTGGCGGCGGCTGGACGTGTGTTGAAGTCGAACAGACCCTTGTAACGACCCTTCTCTTCCTGCTGCTTGGAGCGCAGCTTCTCCTCCATGGCCTTCAGCTCTTTGTTCACGGAGGCTTCCAGAGACGGGTCCAACTCCAACACCTTGGCAAAGTCCGCTCGGGCCTGCTCCTCGTTCCACACTGCAGCATGAGCTTTAGCCCTTTTGTAGTAGGCCTTTACGTTATCTGAAAGGAAATTTTAAAGTAAAACAGACATTAGGAAAACGTCAAGAACACACAAGTTTAACCAATCTATTTGTTGTCATTAAATGTAGCCACTGCAAAGATTTTTGTTTTTCAGTAAAAGATGGGTCAAAACATACTGGGACGTTCTGTTAGCAATTTCCTCTGAAAAATATTTTTTAAAGTACAGCAAATGTTTACTTTAAAAATAACTTTTTGTTCAAAACCCTATGGAATTTAATCTGGAAAAGCCCCCAAATTAAATGATTACATTTCACGGAGGCTCAGAGATTTTAAGAAGTTCTCCTGATTAAAAACAGGAATTTGAGGCACATTTATTCATTTAGTTGACACAAAATTAAAGAATTTATTGTTTAAGAAGTAAATTACTGTAATAACAGCAGATGCTATAAGAATTAAACACCAACTGTAGGCAACTCAGGTTATTATAATTAATCTAATTTGCCTTCACAAACATGATTTAAGATGTCTGAATGCAGATACCAAATATGAAAAATTCCAAACCGTACAGATTACTTTTTAACCTGCAGCTACTGACTATATACAAAACAACAAAAAACCCAAATGACATCACAAAAAACAAACATGTGGTGGTGACAAACACTGAGAAAAAAGGCCCTACCTTCGTATTTGAAGACCAAGGAGGAACAGTGCTCGATGACTTCATAGTACTGGTCCTGCAGTAGCAGGCACTGACAGTAGTTCAGAAGCAGTGGTGTGATCATGAGGTCCAACTTTATCCAGCCTCCATCTCCAGGATGCTCCTAAATGAGAAGAGAAAAAAAAAATGCCAAAAGAGTTACCTGGACTGAAAAGTTTACAGAAAAGTTTGGCAACAAGTGAACTATTCTTTAACCTTCATCTGCAGATTTTTGAGGCAGGCTATGGCATTGTAGTACTTCTCCGAGGCCTCCTTAATTTTGCCTTGTTTAAAAAGCGCGTTGCCCTCCTCGTGGATCTGAGGCACAATCTCAAGCTTCTCTTGGTCAGTCATAGCCCACATATCCATTTGGTAAGAACCAGGAGAAAGAACCTGATTAAATGAAGATATGAAGCAACAGCAGGCTTAATAATGGTTTAAAATACAAAAAGTTTCAAAAGAGCATGAAAATGTGACAATAGTCAGACACCGTCTCCCARCATCTCACCTGTAGCAGCTCGATGGTGAAGATGAGAGGCTGAGGGTTGGCCTGAAGATGATCCAGGTCTTTGTGCCCCAAAGAGTGGTGGGAGTGGATCTGAGCAATGCCACAGCAGTGCCTCTGGCCCTCCAGGGGGTCCTTCCCAACACTGATGTTTCTCAACGACTGGGACACGAGTGGGTACAGAGCTGTGTGCTGAGGAACAGAGGAAACAAAAGTAAACAATCAGCAGCAGAAAGGGAGAACAGCATCTCAGCAAATTCATTAGTCTTTTTATCATTACCTTGGTGTCGCAGGTAAATTCTGCAATCTCGCCTTGTTTCATAGAGGTGACTATTCTTTCCCACACAGCCAATTTAAACTTCTTGCCCAGAATGAGCTCCATAGGTTTGCTGCGGCCTCCCATGGCTCTGGAGTCATCCAGCACCGTGCCATCACACAAGCTGGTGCGGTAGTGAAAAACAACCTGGAATAATGTAAAGAAGAAAATGAAYTTAATAAAATTATGCAGATTGCTTAAATAAAACAAGTACCGACGGTTTGCCAAGCGCAGCTGAAAGCTTTTTTTTTTTCTCAGCAAAGACAAACCTACACTTCTCTGACAGGCCTACAGGAAATACCTACATGTTCTGACCAATCACAACGACGGAAAACTGATTGGCATGGCAAGCCGACGAATCAAAATGCCCAAACACTTCCGTCCCTGCCCACTGATTTACCATCAGGATAAAAAAAAAAAAAACATTAGCAAAAAGGTTTACCAAGGTTATTTTTTCCATACCAAACTGCATATTTTATCATATTTAAGGTTGTTACATTCTATGACGCATTTCTATAAAGTCAGCGCGTTAATTACAACTCTTACAAATCCAAACGTGTTCTAATGTTTATTATACAGAAATTATCTGATAGCATTAAGCTATCGTGCGTCGTCGCGTTTTTCATGTCAACAGCACGGACTATCTTCAATCACTGAAGAGGTTTTTATTACCTTCGTTCCATGTGGAAATGTCGACAGTTCTCCTTTACCAGGACTTATCAGTTTCTTGTTAATTCCCTCTTCGAGGAGCTTACGTGCCTCTTCCTCCATCTTTAATCATGTACGGAAAATAACGATGGTTGTCGAAGCCGGCTGTTTCGTCAGACGTAACGTTTCAGCGGACGTCTGACGTCACTAAATAACAGCTGTAGCTTTGGGTTTATTATTGAGACAAATGAAAATATACAAATACTTTTATTGTAATTTCACAGACATTATTCACACAACACAAAAACCACAGGTGAGACCATTTATCGTTTTTTTTCTCTTTTGGTGTAAACAAACAACTTAGTTATTTTGTGGAAAAATAGTCAAAGCACTGAGTGGTTCAAGTAGCAGTGGTCATTACAATGATTTTAAAAAGACAAAGTGACAGTAACTTTTAATACAAGTGACAACACATTCTTCAGTTTAAAAGAGTAAACATAGAAGGGGAGTGGAAATGTAGTGTCATAAGTTCATTTTTCAAAATAAGGCAAGTAGAACAACTTGAAGCCTCTTCTACCTCGGACAGCACAGCTGATGTAGATCACATGGTACACTGGGGAGAAAAATACAGTTTTTAAATAAGACAAACATCTGTTTATTAGCCGATTTATAAGTTGTGAAAAAATCTTGATTACAAAAAATGGTCAAATTCACCTCCAGGGATAAAAAGAAGAAATCCTGGTATGAAGAAAATGGCACTTGAAACACCTGTAGAGACATTTTTATTTGTGACAGATCAGAACTAACTTTAAATCAGATTCAGCTTACAGTGCAGCACTGAGCCTAATCCGACTGAGCATAATAATCCTCAGTCGGTTTTCTAATTCACACCTTCATACAGATGACCAAAACATCTTGTTTTTGAGCCAGGCAAACAAAGACCCTACTAACTCATCCTTGGTGAAAGGATGCATGATGTGAATTTAGATCACCTGAGCATCACATATACTTTAAAAGTGTAGAACTCCACACTCCAGTTTAGAATTGAGGAAGCTCCCTGGATGAGAGGCAAAATGTCTTTGACTGAAAAATTGAAGACCAAATGTTGTTGTTTTTTTCTGTAACCTTTTTTTAAAGAGTAACTTACACCAAAATTAACTTTTTTTTAGCTGATAAACTGTCTATAATGTGTCTAAAATGTTATATAGTACTGTTTCTGTGCTAATTTTG